GGCTCTCCATAAAAGAGAAATTGCCAAGCGGGCAGAAGATGGGATGGAGAGGATGAGAATAGTTGCCCATTTTTTGCCTCTGGCAATGACCGTCCTTAGCATGTGACCCCTGGAAAGTTGCTTGTGAGGCTGGGCTGAAAAATATTTTCACTCCATTACAGATATTGCACATACAGGCACAACTACTAGCTTATGTGAAGTTTGAACTGACCCTGCCTCTCTCATCCTTTTGGCACCTGCTGAAGACTTTCCTCTTTCAACAAGCCTTCCAAGTGGAGTTGTCCGTCCGCCCATTTATTATCCTAGTCAGTGCTTGTACCAGCTATGCAACTTTATTTATATATGAAATTCATGTATATATGATGCATTGTGAAATCAGTTTGAGAAGGGAGACATTAATTGAATGAACGAATAAACAAACAAATAAATAAATCTCAATAAAGTGTCATTTCCACAATATAGTGAACGGGGAAACATGATGTTTCCAGCTATTCTGAAGCAGGACTCTGCTTTGGATCTTAACCAAAGTAAGAGGACAACTTGAAGAACTGGACCACACTGGGCTGCTGCTAAAGACCTAAAGTGGATTCTCAAGTGACTCCTTCTCCCTACCGCCACCCCCCACAATGCTGCTTTCACTTCAAAACTGAAATTTGCTCCAGAAAGGAAACTTTCCATTCTATATTCAGGGATGCACTGCTGGCTCATAAGCAGCACGTAAGGGTTAAATTTTTATTTTTAACACGGTGCTTTTGGCCTGGGCAGTTCTGCTTCTCAGCTAGTCCCACCAAAGCCAAAAGCAGTGTGTGAAATGCTACTTTTTATTCATATTCCCTCTGAGGCCTGCTCTCCTTTCACAATGGGAGGGCAGCTGCCAGGTCAGGGCTGTCAGCAGAGACTCACATGCCACTTCCAATTAGAGGTGGGGAACAGAGGGAATTGCAAGTGGGGACCTTGAAACTTCGAGGTTGCCAAAGTTGCACAAACGGCAGCGGACATATGCGTAGCCTCCCCTGTAGGTTCTCACAAACAGCAACTCCATGCAGGTGGATCATGGTTGCGATCCCATTAGCAGCCCTTGCCTATTTTCAAGGCGCTCTATCGTACCCACCATACATGTGAGCAGAGTCCAAGAAAAAGACAATTAGTTCATCCCTGTCCATGGTGCTGAAGGAAACCACAAAGCTCCCACCTAGGGGTTGACGTCTGCTATCTCAAACCTCTTGCTGCTGCAGAGTGAAGAATTCATCCCTTTATTATTATACCCCTCTCCATCAACCAGCCACTGCTGCTAAACTGATAAGCCCATTAGAGACCATTAAAAGCAAAATTCTTTTAATAGCTGGATGGGATATTATTATTTCTTTCGCAGCGTGGTCTACCTAATGGTTTGGAGTAAAAATTGGTCTTTTATTGAATCTCCCCTTTCTGAATTGGTTTCTGCTGCCTTTGGGGATTCAGCTCACGTTGCTGGCCTTATACTGTACAGCACGCCATAATGATGCCTCAAGTTCTGTGTTGTTGTTTTCTCCCTGCGTTTGAAGCTGTTGTAACTGTTTGCTGGCTGCGAAATAACCCATACCATTATCTCATTTCATCTTGCCAGTTCTGTCAGGACATGCTAAAGAACAACCTGAGAGCCTGTTAATCTTGCAGTGAAATGGTTGGAAGTTTTAAGTGGTGAATTTTCTGCTGCACTCGAGTTTGCTCAGCCTGTTTTTAATTGGAACCAAGAAAGCAGCTGGCATGCTAATATTGAATGCCCCTCAATTGCAAATTGATGGCAAATACAGATGCAGGAATTTACGAATGTGGCTGATGATGGGCTGGGGGAGGGGAGGTAGAGGAGGGGAAGGTCGGGCCCAATTTGACAGCAGCAAATACAAAATAAACTAAAATAAAATAAAAATGGAAGGAAGGCAGATGTATGGTATCTTATGGAATTCCTTGTGCTGCCTCTTAAGAAAGAAAGGCTTTAACGAATGAATCAGTAGACTTTGCACAAATGTAGCTGCTATTGGAGCCAGTCTGGATTGATTAAAAATGCATTCAGCGCAATGTTCTGGAAAGCTTAACAAGACCATGGAGGACATAGCAGCAAGAGAATGGCTGCTTTCTGACAATATCTTCACCATGTGGCAAACTGAGGACCAAAATGTATATCAGCAGCGAACATTTGTTTGTTTGGAGGAGCTGTACATACCTCCTGTTAATATGGAAATACAAAAGCAGTGGTTTGCTATTTCTTAGGATATCAAATTCTAGGGGCAGGCTGAAGAGGCCTCTTGGTTGCAATTGTGGGATTTTACTCCCTTCCTTAATATAACCTGTCAAGACCCTGAGATCATCACTGGAGGCCTCTGTCCAGGTTCTCCTGCCTAATGAGGCAAAGTGGGTGGCGATTACAGAAAGAGGTTTTTATTGTGGTGGCCTCCCAGTTGCAGAATGTTCTCCCCAGAGATGGTTACTTGGCATCAATGTAATGTAATGACCTTTTTAAAAAAATAACAAAGGTATAGTTCATTATAATTCTTGTAACTATTTTGTTAGTTTTAATGCTGTGTTAGTTTTAGTGCTGATTTATATTATTTGTGTTTATCTTATGCAGTTTTGTGATGGTTTCATTCTGGCTTTATCTTGACATTTGTGCTGCCATAGTGGGTTTTTTTGGTATCTTTTTGGGGTTTTTTTAGGTTTCATTGTATTTTTTATTTTATTTTACCAGTCTTCAATTTGTGAGACTACCCAGAGGACATGGCTAACTGGAAAGTATATAAATGTCAAAAATTAACAACTATGAAAGGGTTGCAATACAATGGTTGAAGGCCATTGGATGATAAGAGCTGGGAGAGATCCCTGCCTGAAATCCTGGAGAGCCACTGCCTCCAGGCATTTAACCGAGTTAGATGGATTCTCCTGCATTGCAGGGAATTGGAGTAGATGACCTTTGGGATACCTTCCAATGCTACAATTCTATGATTCCATGGCCAATCGTCTGACTCTGTATATGAGAGGTTCCTATGTTCCAAATGTTCCTGTGTTTATTGTTTGAGCCTTATATGCCTACAACAGAGATTTAAACCAGAATCTAAGAAATAGCTTATTTTCTCACAATTCAACTGCCTTCCACAGATCACCACCACTGGAAATGCCCTTGATCATCTTTTTAAAATTCCTTCCTACCTTCTCATTCACAACTTTACATTCAATAATACATCTAGGACTTCCCCACACATAATCCCCAGCTTTGCTTCTCTTGTTCCGGACTGGTTTCCTACTAACAACACTAAGAAGCTATTGTGCTTTTTTCTCTCTGAACAGTTGACAGGCGACATCCTGTCAGCAATTTAAGCTCATTCTAGCCAAATAACACTCTTAAACCCCCTCCATAAGTTTTCCTCACTTCAATCACAACAGACAACAACGCCATCAAGATTTGTAAACTCAGCATCACATCTTCACCTTTGCCCTTCACGTCTCTCTCCAGACCTTCATTTTCCGGCTGCTTCTGAATCTTGTCAATTCATCTGGCAATAACTGCTACTCATTCAGAGAGCTAAATCATTGAGACTATGACTGTCTTGCATTTCGATGACTACTGTGAACATATCTCTCTGGCCTTGACCAGTGGAAGACTGCCTCATTAATAAATACATTCTAAATGTTGCCACTAAGGTAATTTCTTTACGTCATCTCTACAACACCTTCACTTCTTCAATTAAAACAAACATAAACCACTTATCTCTCCCCCCCCCCAAGGTCTTATGTGCTCCATTGATAACTCTTATAAGTCATTCACTGACACATTCCATTCTGGTGTGGCCATGGATGTCCACAGCAACATTGAGACTTTGGCTTGTGTGTTACATGATACAGTGGTATGGAAAACGTGTTCCCATGTATTTTACTGCACACCATTCATGTTTACAAGGGAAAGCTCTCACACTAGACAGAAATCCAGGGGCAACTGATTCCCATTAGCACAGGTGGGGCAGAAGACAGGAAGAGCACCAGTATGTGGAGCCAAATCCGATGGCAGACAGATCCCTTTCTCCTTCCTACTGAGTTCTACAAGGCCAACACTGGGACTTAAGAGGGGGAAGTTGACACTCAGTGCCACCACCTGGACTGGATGTAAGTAAGAGGGCAGCAGGGGGCTGAATAAGAGCAGATGGAGGTCCATGGGGCACTACCCCATTTACCATAATGGACCAGCCTCCACCAGAAAAATGTCTATTTTCCATCCAGGCAATCACAAATTGGCCTATTTAGACTATCCACCTCTTAGAAATAATTTTCTAATGATAGGTATGGCAGAGGGAGAGGGCAGTGATTGTCATCAGGATTACTGTGCATGTGGCTGTGAGGTTTACCCCTTCCATTCCCAGCTGTGAGCCAGATGAAAATTATTCTGCCGCACAACAAGGAGGGTCAGAAAAATAGCTACCATTGGCACCAATGGGAGTCTCTCCCCACCCGCAACAAGCCTCAGAGTGCACAGGAAGGTAATACAATTCAATACAAACTTAGAGTGATGTAAAATATCAGAAATGGCTGCTGAGCACTAGCCCTGCACCAGGTGACCTCTTCCTTATAGGAAGGGGTTTTTTTTCAACCAGTACAACAGCATACCCCAAGGCAGCAATATATTTTGTTGTTCTTAGTCTTGGCTTGTTTTTCACCGTCAAAGAAATAAATTGATTACTTCTATGTTGCTTTAAGAGTGGTGAGGCAACAGATTCTGTAAAATGAGGTTGCAGGTGCAGGTTGCAGAATGTGTCCCAACAGGAAAAGGTCTTCCAGATAAAATGGCAAAGGATGACTGCAAAGAGTTAACCTACCCTCAGGTGGCGCAATGGGTCAGTGCAGCTGGCTGTTAACCAGAAGGTTGGTGGTTCAAGCCCACCCAGGGATAGCTGTGGCCAGGATTCCTGCCTTGCAGGGGGTTGGAGTAGATGACTCTCTGGGTCCCTTCCAACTTACAATTCTGTTATACTCACGTTGAATGTCAATGGTGACAGAGGTCTCCTTTCCATTGGGAATGGCCTTGTTGGTAGCTCGGCAGACGATGGTCTGGCCGTTCTCAATGTCGGATGGGGAGACAAAGAGTGTGCTCATAATGCTCTCTCTCTTGCCGTCACGAAGCACCGTCTGCAGAAGAAAACAAAAGTCAACAGTTACCACTTTGGGGAAGAGATGACCGATCTACAGCAACGTGTTGCAGGTTTTGGAACAAGACCAGCCTTTGGCTTTGGAACTGCACCTATTGATTGAAAGCCTATTTCCTTGCATTTTCATTAAAATAAATGCCCAAGGCAGCTAACGAACAGAACACTGTCAAATCCAACAATAAAATACACATGCACACAACTAGCTAACTATAAAAGAGACAAGAGGGAGCTGATAAAACATTTCAATTACCAAGACAAGGAGATTAAAAGTGAAAGCTCAACATGCCAAATGCGTCTTGGAACGCCATCAGATTTTGGGGGTGGGGTGGGGGGTGGTTAGACAAACCTTCCTTGGCAGTTCCAAAGTCTACCTGTAACCTACTTAATTAGCAGTTTCTGCAACAATATACGAACCAAACCACAGGCACCACTCCAAATTTTGAGGTGCCCTTCTCCAACCAAGTGATGTTTACAGAAATGCGTGTGCATTTTAAAAAATGCATATATTTAAGAAAATAACATACAAAAAAAATATGCCATCCTTTGGAGCCAGACCTACCCTCTTGCATTAATTTCGGATGTTTGTCACTTATTCCAATGTGCACTTTCAGTCGGCACGTTTAATCCTGTCTAGTCAGACAGGCCAGGCATATGAATAAAATAGAATATTTAAAAGCTCATTAACACACCGCACTGAAGGTGCTTCTTCACGCCTATCAAGAGGGCACCCGTGTCTGTGGTGCTCCAGAGCCAACCCTTCACACTTCCAAATACCAGAGGTTGCCCAGGTGTGCTCGCTGGGGAGCTGGAATTCTAAAGCTTTGCCTTCCCTCTAATGCTTTATGAGAGGAGCAGGAACATGGCTTGGCACAGAATTAATCTGCTGTCAGATTTGATCTGAATCTTTCACTTAGCTTCCTGGTAGCTACATCGGGCTCTGGGAATTGAGATATATTCAGCCCAGACAGGTGCCCAAGTGCAGGCAGTAATGCTCACCTGCCTGGGCCTTTCATAAAGCTATTCTCATCCCATGCTAAGCAGACAGTGGTGGACCTTGGGGTCTCAAATTTCAGTGGTGCCCTGTGCAATGCCAAAATTCAGTGCCTTCTTCTGCTTCTAAATCATAGTTGCAGTGTCCTCTGTGCAGCCCTGGAGGCTCAGCACCCAGTGCGACCAAACTGGTTTCACTCCCCTGAATCCACCTCTGACTGTGGGACCCTGCAGGGCTTGGTAAGGCCCCAGGGAGACAGCAGCCATTGTGGTGCTCTCTAGAGGGTTTGGACTACAACTCCCATCATCCCCAAATTGTGGGATGTAAACATAGGAGCAGGCAATGACAACATTCCTAGAGTGTACATGTTAGAACATGGGGAGGGATGTCTGTCCAGCAAGCAGGTAAACTTCCTGGGGACGGACTTCCTCCGCATGTGACCAGAGGTGGGTGTGGCCTCACCTGTGCAGGTAATGACAAAAGCACAGGGCAGGCAGCCACTCTCTCTCTCTGCCATTTTCTTTCAATGAGGAAACATCTAAGGATGCCCTCTTGGCTCTCAGCCAAGAGAGGAGATAAGGACTATCTTGCTACAAGATAGATTCTGAATGTATGTAACCTTTTTAAGCTGTCTGCCTTCTGGGATCATATTGTGAACAGAACGTGAGTAAACTCTTTTATACCTTTATAAAGACTGTGTCATGTCTTGTATTTTAAGAGGGAACAAAGGGGAAATTACCAGAGTAATTATTATAGAGGTTCTAGCGAACCTGTGCACACGTTACCGTTGCGAACTTAAAGGGGAATGTCTATAAACTCTGCTGATATTTTGGGAACTTATTAGCACAAGTTGGATTAGGATATAATCTCACAATATATCCTCTCCTGCACCCCAGAACATTCCCACACAAATGGGGGCTGGGAGCGCTGTAACATCTGGAGATGCTCACACTGGCTACCCCTGCCTCTGAGAAATTTGATTGCAACAGACATGCTTCTCTGTGGACACATGCAGTTTGGCTGGAGAAGTGAGTGTTTCTGGGCATGTGCAAAATGACAATAGCAGCAGCAGCAGTTTTGATTTTTTTTTTTACTTGCCCTTCACCATGAGGTTCCAGGAGGGGTTGCTACTATTGTTGATGTTATTTTATTTATTAAAGTTGCCAGTCACTTTGTACAAAAGAAGAACTCTTAAAGCAACTTAACAAATAAAATCAATTTATAATTTTAAAATAACGGTTTAACAATTTAAAACTGTGCTATTTTTTAAAAAACACTTTCTGTTTGTTTGTTTCTGAGCCACTGCATATGCCCCCTGCCCCACAATAAGAACATAAGAACTGTCACGGCTAAAATGGCCGCTGTTTCTTTAATGCGAATAAAGCTGGGTCAGCATGACTCAGCGGTCTGCACCAAGTTGTATATATAGAGTGAGAAATGTTAGTTTGACTGCTGGTGTTTGGGTTGGTTGGTTAGTGCTGGTGTGTATAGTTATTCAGTCGTGTTTTGCACAAAGACTTTTAAGAATAAAACTCTGCAAGGATATTCTCGTGGACGCTTTTATGCAGACAAGGGTCCGAGGACCAGGCTGAGGAGACAAAGGGAGTTCAGAACCCTTTTCTTCTTTTTTTTGCTTTTTACAAACACTGACAAGAACATCCTGGATGGATTAAAGCAAAGCAGCCTCCCTCTCCCATCAGTCCCAGCCAGCATGGTCAATGGAAAGGGATGATGGGAGCTGGAGTCCCAAACGTCTGCAGAGCACCAGGTTGGAAAAGGATGGCCTAACAGTTCATTTAAACCAGGGATGGGGAACTGGTAGCCCTCCAGATCTTGATGGACTCCAGCTCCCATTATCCTTGACCACTGAGCATCTTGGCTAGGGTTCATGGAACTTGGAGTCCAACAACATCTGGAAGGCCACGTATTAACCATCTCTGATCTTGACCAAAATTCTGTTTCCAGCAGTGACCAACCAATGGTTTGGGGGGAAGCTACAAGCAAGGCACCAATGCAGCTACTGTCCTCATCTAGCTCCTGGTATTTAGAGGCATACTGCCACTGAGCATGGAAGCTCCATCTCAATATCCTATCTAATAACCATTAATTTTGTTTAAGAAGCTTGGAAATCACAGGAAATCTTGATCAACTGCCCTTGCACACATTTAATACATTCCCTTTCTCTACCTTGGACTGCAAGAAGATCAAACCTCTCCATTCTTAAGGAAATCAGCCCTGAGTGCTCACTGGAAGGACAGATCGTGAAGCTGAGGCTCCAATACTTTGGCCACCTCATGAGAAGACAAGACTCCCTGGAAAAGACCCTGATGTTGGGAAAGATGGAGGGCACAAGGAGAAGGGGATGACAGAGGACGAGATGGTTGGATAGTGTTCTCGAAGCTACCAGCATGAGTTTGACCAAACTGCGGGAGGCAGTGGAAGACAGGAGTGCCTGGCGTGCTCTGGTCCATGGGGTCACGAAGAGTCGGACATGACTAAACGACTAAATGACTAAACAACAACAACTTTCTCTACCTTATGGACATACCCAACTGTGTACTTCCTGGCTGTTTATCCTTGCCCTGGATAATCAGCAAAGTCTGAGCTTGAGCACAATTTGAAGGCATTGAAAAACCAACCAGTTTGAGCTTTCTTCAGAAGTTCAGGGTTAAACCATCTGGAAGTGACTGACCTTCCATGCAATGGAATTTTGCTCTGTTTTGATAGTGCCCATTTCATTCAGCGCCTTTTGGATTGACCCACCCATTGTGCATCCTTGTAAATGCAGCTACATAGATCTCAATGTACCAGGCATGGCATTATCTCAAAGGACTGGGGGAAAGCACATACAATAGGAACATAAAAACAAGCATGAAGGAGCCCCCAACCCACTCACAGGTCCTTGTATGATCAGTGGAAACAGTTGGTCCTGGCAATTATTAACCACTCTCAACTCCACCCTGATAATTGCCACCTGCCTGGATTTTAACTTGTCTGAATTAATTTTAAGATGTATTTTAATTAATTGATGTCTGTTTTTATGCTTATTGTGTTGTTTTTGTGATGTTAGCTGCTCTGAGCCTGGCCTCGGCTGGGGAGGGCGGGATACAAATAAAATTATTATTATTATTATTATTATTATTATTATTATTATTATTAAAAAGCAGCCTTGTACTGAGTTAGTCCATCTAGCTCAGTATTGTCTACACAGACTGGCAGCAACTGGCAAGGGTTACAGAGAGCCTCTTCCAGGACTATCTGGTGATGCCAGGGATTGAAACTGGGACATTCTGCATGCAAGGCAGATGCTCTACCACTGAGCTACGGCCCTTCCCCTAAACAGGCACTGGCAGGAACTACTACACAAATCACATGCTATCCATTCCAACCTGCTGCCATTTTGACTCTGTCCTGATTCCCCCAAAGCCAGGAGGAATGTTTCTACCTGGGCTGGGTTTTAGCATGGTGAAGTTCAGGCAGTGGACTAACATCATGCTTACAGCTATTTAACTGGACTTTAATTGAATTTTAATAGACTTTTAATGGGACATGCAACATTTTATAATATTTATAGAGAATATTAATCTGTTGCCAACCCCCCCCAAGCCTTTGGTAATGAGGAAACGGAGCACTGAAATAGGAAGGCGGTTTTAGGAGGATTAAGTGAGATGACAAGTGGATGCATATTCAAGCCTACAGGAAGAGGAACTTAGTAGGGGGCAAATCCTGGGGAGTGTGAGCCACAGCTGCCCATACAAACATAAGAAGAGCGCTGCTGGATCAAGCCAAGGGCCCATCTAGTCCAGCACTCCATTCAGAGGCCAACCAGATGTCTGCAAGCACAATTGGAGGGCGACAGCACTCTCCTCACCCCCTGCAATTTCCAGGAACTGGTACGGAAAGGCATACTGGCTCAAACAGTGTAGGTGGGGCTGTTCTGTTGGTCTTATGCTGGCTTCTTTCTCCATCCTCACTTTCATGCCTTGCTGCATTCCATTCTTCCTCCAGGAGGGAACAAGCTTACAAAAAGCGGAGGCGGGAAGCAGAGGAGCATCCAAATGCAAAACGCTCTACCAGAACCAGGGGAAGGGGAAAAAAAACCACCCTTCTCTTGACAGACTTGCATATTAATGGGCTAGACAGGAATTAATTCCATCCAAGTCAGAGGAGGGGGGAGGTCAGCCCTTTTGCGGTTCTAATTAGCATCGGCTGCTGCCCGAGATTCCAGGAGACAAGGTCAAGCTGTGGACTTAATTGTTCTGCTGTGTCCACATGGCATTTGGGGAAGAGGAAATGTGTGCTTGTTGTGTTGATCAAGATTACACAAGAGGGGGGCGGGGAGGAAATATTCTGTGAGAAACACAGGGAAGGGATTTGAAATCGCCACTGCACAAACAGTGCCATCACGCTGTGCTTTAAAAATCTGTGGTCCCCCACTCCCACCCCCACATCATCTCACATCCACCTTCTTTCTCCTGCAGCTTTGGTGCACAGCAACCCGTTGGCCATTTCCTGAGAGATTGCTGATGGCAGGAGAAATGAAATGTCTTAGGATTTGGGTGCAATAAAGCAAGAATCCTCCTATAATACTGCAGGCAAATCAGATGGCGGTGAGAGAAAGGTCACGCCGCTTATGCAAATCAGATGCTGGATTCTCCGATAGCAAGCAGAAGGCCTGGAGGATGAGGCTGGCTAATGCAGATGAGGCTGCAGGCAGGCAACAGAGGCGGCCTGGACCAGAGCATGCCGCAGCTAGCCAAGGACTGAAGTCCAAGAGACGGTTTGTGCATCTTATTTTGCAAAGGAAGGATATGGGATTTTGTTTCTGCCTTCCTCTCCTGCCCCTGATCCCTGGCCAGTGTTAGTGTAAACTGATCAGCATGCAAATCAGCTTTTCGAACAACCTCCCTCCATCATGAGACTGAAAACCCACACTATGTTCGCTAACAATATGATAATGTTGCTGGGCTTTAGTCATCGTTCGCTCTGTGAAAATGCACTGAGTGCATTCATGGCTGCTGGCCGCATTCAAGATTCCTGTGCATTCATCAGAAGGTAAGAAGGTGTTAGGAAAGGATCGTGGTTCAGTAGCAGAGCATATACTTTGCATGCAAAAGGTCCCAGGTTCAATCCCTGGCATTTCCAGGTAGGGCTGGGAGACACCACTGTCTGAAATCCTGGAGAGCCACTGCCAGCCAGTGTAGAGAGTACTAAGCTATGGCTTTGATTCAGTGTAAGGCAGCTTCCTATGTTCCTAACAGAACATGCACATGCACAAATGTATGCATATAGGCTGGATAGCTCAGTTGGTAGAACATGAGACTCTTGATCCCAGGGTTGTGGGATCATGCCCCACATTGTGTGAGAGATTCCTGCATTGTAGGAAGTTGGATTAGATAATCCTTGTGGCTCCTTCCAACTCTATGATTCTATGATTCTATGCATGTAGGGTCTCTGTGCGGTTGGAGACTCAATTCAGAGTCCCTAATTGCACATGGTCATTTGAGCAAGACTCTTGTGACAGCCTAAACTGGGTTCTTAGATTATAGGTCAAAGTGCAACATGCTGCTGCAGAAGGGACCTGCACAATTAGGGATGTTTGAAGGCACTGCTTTCCTTTCCGCCCTGTATTAGCCTCATGCAGCACTGTTTCCATTTTGCTTCAGTTCGGCTTCTGCCAAAAACTACTTTATGTACCTCACTGTCCTCTGTGACAAAATTACACAATTTACATACCTTATGTAATGAATTATGCAAATTACATGAACTACATAAATTACACTGTCGATACATTATTCCACTCCATTTTAGTGCAAAAGAAACACGTTGCAAATGGGGAGGGATGTGATCAATTACATATCTCTCAACTGTAGACTGAAAGCAACCATGGCAAGAGGACCTCAGCAGCTGAGATGGAGAATAAGGAATCAGGCAGTCTGTAAGGTACTTGGGGCCCAGATTGTGGGAAGAACATGGGACAAATAAGCCAACACTGGAAATCTTAGATTCTATTTCTGTTTTCATTGGAATTCTCCAACATTCCTACCAGCTCTTTGGCTCACTTCTGCTTTGAAATCTGATGTTCATGAAAGCTGAAACATCTGGAAATTGATGTCAGAATTAGTTATCCTTTCATCTTTCCCAGGAAGTAATCCATGTGCAGGATGAGACAGGAACATAGTACGGGAGGGTATTAGCTTATTGAAATATGTTGTCCATTCCATTCCATAGGCTTGGGGAAGGTCATCATTTTGTTAAATAAAAATACATATTAAAATTTTAAAAATATGTGTGTGCTCCATTAAAGTATATGTAGTACGAATTAAAATCCAATTAAATAGGCATAAAAATAACATTAACTGGCCTACTCCTCTGCTGCCTTAACCTCAGAGATACCATAAATAACCCCTTTCACTTTGCCTCCTTGCAGTGCAGATGTGGCACATAGTTTCTACCAGCCCTACTTTCTTGGAAAGGTTGTATCCCAGAGCATCCACCTTGCATGTGGAACATCTCAGCATCTCTAGGTAGAGCTGCTGAAATTCTGGAGAGCCATTGCCCACCAGTGCAGGCAGTACTGAGCTAGGTGGACCCATCTGACTTAGTCTGACTTAATCTAAGGCATCTTCTAGTGTTCCTACGTCCATCCCTAGGAAAGGTTAGGTTAGTAGGTACCAAGGATAGGGCCTTTTCAGTAGTGATCCTACATCTTTGGAACTCCCTCCTCCAAAAGTTTCCTTTGGCCCCCTGTGGGTTTCAAACAGATCCTTTGAAGTTTTTTTTATTCCATCAAGCTTTTCAAATATTTTGCCGCTGGCTCACTACATTTTAGCCAGGTACTTTTTAATGGATTGTTTATAATGCATGTTGCATTAATATTTCAATCCCAGTTATTTATTTTTTTAAACTGCCTTGTGAGGGCTTGGGACTCAAAGGTGGGATGCAAAGAGGACAGGTAAAGGGACCCCTGACCGTTAGGTCCAGTCGTGGCTGACTCTGGGGTTGCGGCGCTCATCTTGCTTTACTGGCCGAGGGAGCCGACGTTTGTCCGCAGTTTTTCCGGGTCATGTGGCCAGCATGACTAAGCCGCTTCTGCCGAACCAGAGCAGAGCACAGAAACTCCATTTACCTTCCCGCCAGAGTGGTACCTATTTATCTACTTGCACTTTCGAACTGCTACTTGCTTTCGAACTGCTAGGTTGGCAGGAGCAGGGACCGAGCAACGGGAGCTCACCCCGTTGCAGGGATTCGAACCGCCAACCTTCTGATCGGCAAGTCCTAGGCTCTGTGGTTGAACCCACAGCGCCATCTGCGTCCAGCGAAGAAGATGCTCTACCACTAAACTAGGGGCTTTCTCCAAATATTTGGCAAAGGGATGTAATCTGCACTCAGACTGTAGCAAAAACTTCAAGATGGCCAAAGACAAAGTTGAGCTTGAAAGGTATGAAGGTGATATGGGCATCTCAGTGATTGCTACGTATATATACAGAGAGGTCACTGTGCTTTCTTTTGCTCCCTGTGCTCTTGCACTTCTGGCCTGCCTGAGAGGCACCTTAGTGGCATTTCCAGCAGAAGAATTTTCTTTTCAGTGGAAACAAACTCTTAGAAACTAATATAAATGCTGCACTTGGGCACAGAACACTCTTTGAGAAATTGTAGCCTGGTGTCAAGCTCACAGCAGGGGACGTAAGGAGGCTACACAGACTGGCTAAGGCCTCCACACCTGCACTAGAGACCATTTTGCCCTGAATAATGTTTATTTTGTCAAAATGCTTGCTTTAAAAATTCTGTTCCTGCGCTCGCTCACAATCCGTTTCACCAAGCTGCCTGCCATCACCTCTGCCCATATGCAGAGGCAGTTTCAGGCCATCTGAGGAAGCTTGTAATGTTATTGCTGCAATTAAAATGCACTGGCAGCCTTATAACCAATGTTGCTCGGGAATTCTAAGAAACAAACAAACAAAGATGACTGCAGTTTTGAAATTAGTGGTTTAAAATCCGTGCAGTATTGAAAGGATCGGTCCACCATCTTGAGTCAAAATGGTATCCATTTATGTATCTAAACAAGGGTGAAAATACACTCCTTGATCTCAAAAATCATGTTGCTAAATTTGGACAAGCTGTCCAAATGCACTGCGAACAGAGAAACAAAGCACTTTTCAAAATACATAGTAGAAGGGGAGTTTCTGATCATTAGGAAAATAATAATAATTTCCCTCTCTATACTGATTAGTATAGAGTTCCCTTCTCTCTATACCAATTAGTTTCTGGGCTCAATTCAATGTGTTGGTTTTGACCTATAAAGCGTTATGTGGCTCAGGACCCCAATACCTCAAGGGCCTCTTTTCAGTGGCTGGGCTTTTATATGTGTGTGTGTCTGTGTGTGTGTGTGTGTGTGTGTGTGTGTTTAATCATCATTTGTTATGACCTTGGAGATCTGATCTCCCTCCTCTACCTTTCCTCTCTCCTCTCCTTTTCTTTTTCAAGAGGGGCGACCCTGCTAACTTTTACTGTTTTTGGTGCAGTAGAATCTAGAAGCACCTTAAAGAAAAATGGATTCATTATGGCCCAAGCTTTGGGGGACTTCAGTCCATCAGACGCATGAAGTGTTATCCTGAGAGACATGTATGCATACACACACTTGGTTTGTGGCAATGGGGATTGTAAACAGTGAGTTCAGAGGGAAATGAAACACAGAAAAGTACAAGCATTGATAATCATGTAATTAACTGCAGCCATTCACAGCTGATATCCTGGCAATTAACAGATACAGTGAGATGTTTAAGGGAAAAAAATCATTGATCTCAATTCAATCAATCAATCAATCAATCAATCAATCAATCAATAGCATTGAACCTCCTGCTGTATTGTGATTTAGCAGACCTAGAATTCTAGTGTTAAGCAAATTAACAAATACAGTGTGATAAAAACTCCTTCCTCAATTCAATCCACAGCTGATAGCATCAAACTCTTGATGTGTTGTAACTCTGCAGACCTGGAATTCTATTGCTGTGAGACAGGGAGAATATATCTCTGTCCCACCACAAAAAGTCCTCCCAGTCTAGGATGTGAGGGCATTTGAGACAACTTAGCTAAGCGGGTCTGGACTGGGTCAATGCCTGGTTGAAAGACCCTTTGGGAATGCTATGTATGGAACCTCGAGTTCCATGATGGAAGATTGTAGAAATATATTTTTTTTACTAATAATGTGACTTGAGTTCTCCCTGTGAAGGTCCATCTCTAGGTCAGCCAAGTCATCACCACCTGGGTGGGCCTTAGCTGTCCTCTTTAACACCCACCCTGACCCCAATTCCAAATCTCAGACCCTTACCTTGGAATAGGTTGCTCCATTTATTACTTCTCCTCTCCTCATCCAAATAATGGATGCTGCTGGTTTAGCATTGTCCGCGTGGCAGGTCAGATTCAGAGGATCTCCAGCTCGCAGACTAATGACGGGCCCTCCAATAATTATGGGATCATCCGGAGGCACTGTAGAGAAAACAGAGCATGGTGCAATTTATGAGCTTCAGAACAAAACCCACCAGATTAGAGAGAGGGCAGGATATACCGATCCAAGAGAATAAGCATGACACAATATGCTGAAATCCACACTTGATCTGCAGAATGAATCAGCCAAGCTGAGGAGGCATAAAAAAGAATGAAAGATTGCTTCTGGCAGCATCAGCACCAGCCATGTCGCCAACAGTACAATAACAAGGTGTTGTACAATAGGGGTGCATTGAAATATAGTTTCATAATAAGGCACTTCATACATGGAGAACTTGCTGTAACCCAATAAAGAGATGTACACAAAGGGATTTAAAGCACATTGTATAACATGCTTTGATCACATATTTGTTCCCCCATTCAAGGCATTTGGTTAAAGGGTGATACAGAGGGTGAGTTTTCTCCCAACTCAATACTTTTTGTCTGGTGCTGCTGTTATTCTAGTGCACACAATTCCTGATTTTTGAGGTGAAAATGAAAAATGTGCATTTATTCGGGACTAAATCATCCAGAACTTGAAACGTGTGCTTTTGTGGAAGAAGCTTCCATTGTGCAGGGTGTGAATACCAGTTTGGTATGCAAATATGGAAACTAATACATGGGGGAGGGATTTATTGTAGATTATGAATACAGATTTTTTATTTAGTTTAAAAATAATATGAAAAAAGTTTCTGTGGTTAGCTGGGTTACCCTTTGGAGTGCATGGGGAATGCTGAACATGGCTGCTTATTTCTCCCACTTGCTCAGCCCCACCCCCTTCCTTTATTTTTTCACATGTTACAACAAAACAAGGAGAGGGAGAGCAAATGTGATGTAGGTGTGCACCCTCTTATTTTGTTATTGCAAGAGTGATTTGGACTTACTGCATTCCCAGTATAACTTACATGGGCTGTACCAAGCTGGAAGGGTGAACATGTGAAGAAGTTGAATCTTATTCAGTTTGATTGATTCCTACCTCCTAGTATTTATTCATTTACTTACACATGCTGTGACATGTTCCTTATCGCTGCCCAAGGTCCCCAGGATCCTCACAGCCCCAGAGTGAGTCTTATCTCCAAACAGTGAGTCCCTTACTCTTAACATTTGGGTCCTCTTTTCATCACTAGATCCTGCTTCCATAACAAACTTCCTACAGCTCTCATACCTCACCACTGGGGTTGCTAGATCCAGATCCAGCTCTTTGTTGTTGCTTCTAACCACCTCCTCCTTTTTGCTAAAGCTGTCCTCATGATCTAACCTTCTTTCTGCCTTCTGCCCCCACGGCTCCAGGCTCCTACCCTCTTTGCCCAGGACTGTCTCAGCCATGTCTGAGGATCAGACCTGCATAGCCAAAAAGATTCCTCACCCCGGGTTTTTAGGAGAGGAAGGTGGATGTCATCAAAGGGACATGCTCTCCATCAAGGCTGTTGGTTGAAATCAATCATATTTAACAGCCTAAGGTATTTAGGGAACAAATAATCTGATTTCCTTTCAATACATTACTAAGTGTACCAGCTTATTCCACAGATGTTCTATTACTGTTTCTACACTAGACATGGTATCTGCAGGTAGTCGACAGACAGTTTAGGCTTGGGATGGGTTTTCTTTGCTGAACCTTTATTGTCTGAGCGAGCTTTAGATATGAAAGCAATAGCATATTTCCTCCACTTTATTTATTTACCACATCGCTGACGGGCTTCTCCTGCTGAGGTGCACACATATTACTTTATGAAGGCCGGGGGCAAAAGCTGTCATTTAGTCCAGAATGCAAAGCAAAAGATTTGGTCTAAAACAAAGAACAGTGGTGTATAACTAGATTATTTCATTCTATTTGAGACATGAATCAGAGCACTGGGCGACAGCTTTCACAGCTGAAGCCGTGAATATGTTCATGTAGCTCCGTTTGTGTGTCTGTTCCAGGAGGATGTGGAGCATCAATTTTAGGTTGAAATGGGATGTTACAAGAGTCATCAAGAACCCACTGCCTAGAATCACTTCTCTGCTATTTCTTGTAATGTCTACTGTAACATTGTGCAAGCACTGAGAGCCCTGCATAATTTCTTCAAATTGAGAACTCGGGTGGTTGAGTGTCGACACTATTGCATGCAGAATGGCACTACCGATAAATAAGAGGCAGGGATTAGCATGCCTGGGAGAATTCTGAGGTATGCAAAAGTACTAAATATTAGGAGGAAAAACCAAAGCAAATGCGCACCAAGCATGCTCAGTGGTTTCAAGGAGCCACAGAATGTTGGATGTCAATTGTGCAATTCTGTTAAGAGGTAACTATTAAACCACAGAGCCTAGGACTTGTTGATCAGAAGGTTGACGGTTCGAATCCCCGCGACGGTTGCTCGGTCCCTGCTCCTGCCAACCTAGCAGTTTGAAAGCCTGAAGTGCAAGTAGATAAATAGGTACTGCTCCGGCGGGAAGGTAAACAGCATTTCTGTGCGCTGCTCTGGTTTGCCAGAAGCGGCTTAGACATGCTGGCCACATGACCCGGAAGCTGTACGCCGGCTCCCTCGGCCAATAAAGCGAGATGAGTGCCGCAACCCCAGAGTTGTCCGCGACTGGACCTAATGGCCAGGGGCCCCTTTACCTTTACCTATACTGTGGCTTTTTGTTCCAGGTCCCACTTCTCCTCTGTCTCCCCTATGATACAAACTAATGGGATGTATCTAATGCTCTTGTGCTAGCAGATGGGTGGGTTTTAAAACTGTGCAGCAGAGGAAACCAAGTCACCAGCTGTGCCAGCAGAAACTAATTGCACAACAGATTGAGCAACCAAGTCACCAGCAACCTACACATGCATTCTCTTGCTCAACAACTTTCCCCTGGTGCCAAATATTACAGCAGCAGAACAAGGATAGGACTTTAACTAAGTGATTTTAACTTGGCGCTACCTTGGATACAGACCAATTTGTTTATTTTAACAGATTGTCTTAATTTGCTTTAAACCTTAGCTGCATCGTGCACAGTTCTTTATTTAAAATCAGGGAATCATTGCCATTCCCTGTCGCCTGAAAGATGAGCATTGGTCCTATTTTCTTCACAGACCTTGATTTTGACATTCTTCAGATTATAATATCATTGAATCACCTAAGTCTATAATTCTGGGGAAACCAGTCAGGTCAGTAAGGAAACCACTTAACAATAATAGGCCAGAGCAGGTCATATAGTATTTCCTAATTTATTTATTTTTAAAAAAGCATTCAAAAGCCACTTGCTCACTGGTCAGAGCAGAAGAGGATTCTCATAATGATTTGGAACAGGCCCACCAATAGTCAACAAACAAGTCTGAGGAAGGTACAAGAAGAAGCCCTAAACCCAACTCTTCAGCAATGGTGGAAAGGCAATTCTTTATACTTATTAGCACAATTGCAGGGACTATTTTTGTATTGTATCACCTGCCAACCTTCACTTAATAAACAAAAGGCACTCCTCATCTCAAGGGAGGTTCTGCAGCTATCTCTCTTATCAAATAAGACTTTGCTGCAAATTTTGACTCAGATGACATCAGGGATCTTTCATCCTTCCTCTAGAAAAAAAACCTCCATCATTCAAATTGCCATCTTGACAGCTTGCTAGGAGTGTGTGTGTGTGTGTGTGTGTGTGTGTGTTTGTGTCTCCATCCCACATTGCAGGCGCAAAAAAGAAGAAGGCATTTTCAGAGATGTTGAGGCCTGGAGAGTTTATAGCACCCATGTGCCACTAAATTCTTACACTGCCATATATCTACGTGTCTTTTGATTTATAATCCACTCTTTCCACATAGGCTCAGAGCAGGCAGCAACATTATAAAAACAAGCTAACACCATAAAATTAGTGATGGGCGAATTCCCCTTGGCTTGCCTCAAAACACATTTTTTAGAGCTTTCTGAGACATTTTTTTTAAAAAAGCTTTAAGGTTTTCCCCCCAAGTATTCTCAAGGAAAGCTTAGAGGAAAACGAATGAACAATGGAGGGCACACCCCTTCCTTTTGAGCTGCTTGTACCCTCCTCATAAACAGCACCTCCATCTTTCAGAAGGGAGGAGGAGTAAGCAGTGCTGAGGAGAGCTGGCTAGAAAGAAGGGAAGCATTTTCAACCTCTCTTTATATGAAACAGACACTCACAGGCATGTTCAAAAGTGTCACTTCCTTCAGGTAATGTGGGGATTTGAAATTGCTCTGCCTCCAGATTCAGACTCTGTTTTGAGCCAGAGCCACATCATATCCCTCAACTGTCCTGTTTTAAGTGGGACATCCCAGAATGAAAGAAGCTATCCTGGCTTCTGATTGGATCCTGGAATGTCCTGTATTTTGGTCCAGTGCTCTGGTGCGAGTCAGCTGGCTCACACCAGAGCACCGGACCAAAAAAACCTTCATTTGTGTTTTTTTTGTCTCGCCCTTTTGTGCGAATCAGCTAGCTCCCATGAGAGCTCGGGACCAAAAAAGGAGCAGGTTGTTGGAGGGTATGCCACATTTGAAAAGATCTGGGTGTCTGCTTCTAGACAATGAAAAGGATACTAGTCCAAGTATGGTTATATGCTAGGAAGGGATGGGCAAATTTGTAAATACAGGGGTATGAACGGGATCCGTTTTGGAGGCCCGTTCACAACATGAAAAGAATGCAACCCATGTCTGCGCGTCTGCGCATGTGCGGGTTGCGATTCACCACTTCTGTGCATGCGCATGACATCATTTTGCACGTCTGCGCATGCACAAGTGGCAAAACCCGGAATTAACCCTTTCCGGTACTTCCAGGTCACCAAGGGATGTATCCTGAAAGAGCATAACATGAAGCGGACGTAACATGAGGTATGGCTGTATCAGTTTCTCATTTTTCCAAGCTTAGGTTTCGTTCTCCACATCACTTTGCAATTTTTAAAAAAGTCCTCATGAAAATTCACCAGCATTTTAGGGCAAACTTCCCCTAATGTACACATTTTTGTGCAATTTTTCCTAATACACACTTTTGCAAAGCAATTGTGTCTAATATAAACCTAAGAGCTTGCTGGAGCA